TTGTCCACATAAATGGATTTTTTTCTCCTTCACATGGTTACAAGCATAAGTCAATTGAACAAGCTTCAAATTACACTACTCATTAATCACTGAGTAAGTCATATCAATAATTTAAACTTAATCTTTATAGAATCGACGCTAAATTCAACCAGAACGTCAATGACGTAGCGCTCTTCTGCATCTCGCAACAACAAATATCGTAAATTTTATGTGGTACACTTTTGAACTGGTCAAAAAATAAAAATTTGATGACCTGGAAGGGACATAATTTCATTTAGCTGTACAAGATTAAATAGAAACTAAAGGAAATGGAATGAAAATTGGTTGAGAAATATATAGTTTTATGACAAGCAGGACTCGAACTTAGTAAGAGATAAATGTAAACATACAATGATAAGAAAAGGCCAGAGGTATAAATGAAATGTAATTTTTGATAAATTTGAATAAATTACCATAATTAATCAATGGAGCAAAATCTCAAAATTCTGTGTAGAATTTTAGAAACCAAATTTAGCTCTATCAGAAAAAGCAAACCAAATCAAAATTGGTCAAGAAATGAGGGAGAAGAAGCAATTTTTGTCTTTTTCTGGAATAAATTTGCATAAATTACCATAATTAATAATGGAGAACAATTTCAAAATTCTGTGTAGAAATTTAGTGTACCAAAGTTAGCTCTACGATATAAAGCAAACCAAATCAAAATCGATCGAAATATAAAGGAGAAAAAGTATTTCTTGTGATTTCGAATAAATTTGCATAAATTAGCATAGATAATGAATTTCACGATTCTGTGTAGAAGTTTTAAATCCCCCTCCTAGCCCTATCATATGAAACAATCAGAATCAAAATTCGGGCCGGATGAGCTAAAAACAATACAAATACTACACAACTGGCATGCATTACAAAGCCTGGAGGCTTTTTATTATTGAATTTATTGATATTCAATTGAAATAAGAAATAAACTTACATCAGCGATGGCGTTGAGGGCGGTATCACATCCCAGACTGAAGTCCGTCCCTGGTACGTTGTTACTGACCGTCGCCGGGATCACAACCACTGGGATGCACAGCTCTGGGTATTGCTTGCGGGCCTCTAGCATCTGGATTGCACTCATGTATGCCTGCAGACAAAACAATGAATAGGATTCTTCAAAACACTTCTCATTTACCTCTTTTTTCTTCTTCATTTGATGTAGCAAAATGGCATTGCTGTTCCCTCACAACAGCTGCATACCCAAACCAAAAGCAGTTATCATTAGGTGGTCTGTTGAAAACAGATCACCTATTGTTTTCGTCAGAATTTTCTTTCTTTATTTATTTATTTATTTATTATTATTATTTATTTTTATTTCTCCCCGTTTTTTGTTCATCGGTTAACTCAAGATCAGTTGTGTTAATTTCTTTCAATTTTGACAGTCATAGGTCATTGTCATGAGACGTGACAGTAACATTTTCAAGGTCATCATGTCATCGTGACGTCATCCAGGCGCCATTTTGTGTAATCACATTATCCATCATATCTTCATGATGCGTACTCAAAGTTCATTCATATTCATATCACATATACTTCAGGTCAAAGGTCAACAGGTCATGTCATCAAATGTCATATAAAGGTCATGACGCGCGCGTATGTGCGCGTCAAAATTTAAAATTGCTCAAAATCACTTAACTACTAAAGGAGAGTACGAATCAGGTCATTTGAAGCATTTCAAAATTTTCCGTCCGTACTTGTCCCCGCGCGCGGTGCGCGCGCTCACAACGCGCGGAAAAGATCAAATTCAATTTGTTTACATGATTTAGATTCCTCTTACCGTAAATGACAATGTACATTAATTTCAGTCACTCTTGACCTTTCATAAGGCCGTGAGCACGCGTCAAAGTTCAAAATCCGCGCGTACTGCTATGGGCAATATAATGCAAATTTGATCAAAAACATGCCATTTTAAAAATCGAAATAGCTCTTCAGATAGTCCATTGACCCCCAATTTTTATATCATGGTTGGAGAAAGCATGAGTTGGAGATATGATTTCATACCACCCTGACTCGTACAAAGTGAAACAAAGTCATCATATTGGCATCTAAACTCAAACAAATGTATTTTGTTGATGACGTCATTTTTGTCTTTGTTTATTTGAGATTATCTCACTTATCGGTCATCGATTTTCTCCCAGATTTTGATATGTTGTAGCTGAGATAATTCTCTATCTCTATCAGTAATAGTCATTTATTTTTCATTTAGATGACGTCATCATAGTTAAATATTCGATTAAAGGTGACAATGCATAATTTGTCACTTTTTTCAAAACATGAATCTGCATGACAAGGTGTTTTGACCAGTAAATTTTAGTATGTTGTAGCTGAGACTATTTGCTATCTAATATTTCCTCATTTTTTTTAATCAGTTGTCAGGATTATGCTTATGCTCATCATCATCATTAACATTATCATTTTTATCGTCATATAACATTATCATTATCATCATCATCACCTTTACTATCATGATCATCACCATGTTCATCATGATCATCATTGTTTACATGTCTATATAACTTGTCCCATTCTCAAATCTATCATAAGACATAGACAGACCACCTTATTCGTCTTCGTGACGAATTAAATTCTAGTTTTTATTTCATTTTCAAAATGTTTTAATGTATTGATATTTTTAATGTAAATGTATTTATATTTGCTGTTTCTTGTCTGATGGATACGTTTGTATTTGTACAGAGATGTGAAATAAAAATTTGAACAAAAAATTGTTATCTAAAGTAAAACTGAACGGGGGGAGGGGTGTTTCACAAAGATCCCAAGTCGAACTTAATTCTAAGTTGGACTTAACAATATGGAAAGCTGTTAGCATCTTTGACAATATTTTGTAAAGTTATTTTAAAAGGCATAAAATGTTGATTCAAATTATTCATATTTTCTTTTATCAAGGAGATTTCATGTTCTTGATGTGGAATTATGAAGGGTCTAAACTACTTGAATATTTGCTTTTAAATGTTTTTTTTTTTAAAGGCTAAAAATAGCTCTCCATAATGTTGAAGTCCAACTTAGAGTTAAGTTCGACTTAGGATCTTTGTGAAATACCCCCTGGTGGTGAAAGTATCATTGGATCTCTTTGAAATTACTCCTCTAGTGTTCCAGACATCATGAAAGTTCATGCCATAGAATTAATGAACCCTGACATCAACTTTTGCAGAACTTTCACAAAAGTCTTTTGCCACAAAAACGGCCAGCATTAACACCTCATGAGAGTTTCATATCCTAAAAGAGTCTGGCTTTACAGTACAACAATTTTTTAGTAACCTAGATAAATCAAACATTAATAATTCAAAGGGGCTGTAGAAAAATCCCTTTAAAAAAAAATTATTAAAAAAAAAAAAAAAAATCATTTTTGTGGGATTTATTTTACAATGAGGTGAAAAAACATCTTACCTCAAAGCCGCCAATCATGAGAAGTGCATGGATATTGTACTTCTTAATTTTCTCTGCAACAGCAGCCATGTCTTTCTTTGGAGTTGTCCTAAAATGTTTGAATAAAATATTTTTTAGGATGTTCATCAGTTTGAGTAAAACTTTTGAAAGGATAGCTGGAGTGGAAGAATTCTAAAAATGAACAAGGGAAACGCTCTCAGCTGTCCCGCCTGCATTACGCAATTCGATATGATGACAAATTGAGATTTTAACATTATTTATAGGCAGGGTGAACCATCAGCAGGCCCCAAAATACAAAATCCTCTGAATATAATCAGCATTTTGAAGTGAATATTGACTAAGAATCATCAGAAGAATTATTTACTATTATTACCCGTATCAGTCATCTGAGCAGTGGTTTTACAAAATCATACAACACTTCTTGTAATCCTAAAAGAGCTAATCAGTAAATATAAGACCATTATGATATTACCCTCTCATGAAAAAGCCTATAGACTTTACGTGTTAAAAAAGCAGGAAATAAAAGTCTCATATTCACCGTGCCATATTTTGTCATTTTCATTGCGCATCTATTATGCGTACGAGAACCTGCACACTTTGCGCATACTCTATTGTGATTTAATAATCACACCAAATGCACATACTGTTTGCAGTGTATCAAAAATTTTGTCAAGCACTGGATGCACAGTACAGCAAGTTTTTTGAGATTGTTTTTATTTTACTGGTTCAAAAAATCAATCTAATGCAGGATAAACAATCCAGAATGAATTATAGCCATGTTCTCTTGACATATGATGCCCATACCAGAGCTCAAGATTAACTTTAATATCTGACTTCCTCACCATGTTTCAAACATCACTAGAATGTAACTAACCTGTTCGTTCCAAGTAGAGAACCTCCTTGTCGCACCCAATCACTCACGTCCATCCAGCCAGATAGCTGAACCTGTATAAAGAGACCATACAGTGTAAATCCCACCTCTACAGAAGGACCACATTAATTAGATGACATTTAAGACTGACTGCAGTTGTCCATTTTGAATTTACACCATTAGATAACCCTGTCACACCGCCAAACTGGCGCCAAACCAACCAAGAATCCACAAAGTATTGGCTATATCCTATATGGGGTAATTTTTGTTCAATTGACACTCTGTTGACTGCCCTGTCATTGCGATTGTGACTGGATTTATTGTCTGTTTTTCACATTGTAAAATATTAGCAAAACCATCGTGTAACAACAACAAAAATGAACTGATGTTTATTGCTTGTTGAGCTTCACTTTTTTATAAACACTAAATGCACAAATTGAACATATGTTATTAGATTCAAGGAATGCATCTAGTTTTGACTGCATTGTTCTATTTTAATCCAGTAATTCTACATTTGCTCTTCCACAAAAAGATGACACTAGAATGCTAAGAAAGATTTGGTGAGAACTTCCACGTTGAGTTATAAACAAAGGAAAAGCATTTTGGGGTAGGTTGTTAAATCATGCAGAATTTTTTTTTCCTTCTCATTATCTTGCAGAAAAAAAACAATGGAATTAATAAAAGGATTGCACAAGCATTACGCTTAGCATTCAAAGCCGTATCAGCATCATTTTTTTTTTTTACATGAACTTGTTTTAAATTATCTGCAAAATAAATAAAGATACAAACAAATAATTAATGACTACACTAAAACAAATATATAAACATATAAACATAAACAGGAGAGCAGTCAGCAATTCACCTTTAAAAAATTGATTTACCGGTAAACAAAGTCTTTTGGAAGAAAAAAATGTAAATTGAACTGTAAAAATTATATTGCGGAAAAAACTATTTGTACAATGGCAAGTCTATGATTTATTCATGTGAATAAACATTGAAGTTTTAGACAGCATATTTCCATTCCTCCAATAACAGTACATGTACGACACAACCATGCATCCTAATTCACCTTCAATTCTCATTTTTGTATGATGCCTTCTTCCCTCAATCCTCAAAATAATAATAAATGATAATTGATGAATAAACTACTAGCAATCAAAATTAGGCTTTGCAATAGTTTGCTTTCATACTTGTAAATAAAACAATAGTTTCTTTTTATGTTAAAGTTCCCACATCAAACTCAAACTCGACACCAAACAAACCATGATTCCAAATAAAACATTAGCTAAGCATACAGACATAAAATGACTATAAAAGAAAGACTGCAAACACCTAAACATCTTAACCAAGGTATGAAGAGCTACCCATACACATACTATTTATACCAATTTTGATGATAAAATCATCTATGTACATTAATCTAAACGTATACACTCTACAAGACTAGTCGGTTGCGTGTTGAGGTAAATCAACTAAAAAAATTGAAAATTGAAAATCACTGCTTCAAAATAAAAGAGGAACATTTTGCACGTAAATAAGTGGGGAGAAAAAAAAAGGCACAAGTTACGAAGTCCCAAACTTCTGTGCATTTATAAGACATAGAACTGCTACTTAAAGAACTCACGTTTTCCTTCAATTTACTACCTCACATATAAATGAGGCTATAGTTAAATATATAGAATAAAGCATACACAAATGCTTCTATTGTTAATAAACGAAATGTATCATCTTAAAATACCATATATATTGTATTATGTAATACCATATATTATGTATTATATCCCTTATCGTAAGATTGTTGCATTAGAAGTGTACACAACAAGAAAAATAATATTTTACTATAAAAGACATTTCCTGCCAACTACATCGGAATAGTTCATTTTTTATTGCTGACGTCCCTACGGAAAAAAGGGACTATGCGTGACGTCAGCGAGCATACAGGATTTCAATGCCTCAGCGCACAGCGCTCAAGCATGCGCAGATGCAGTTTGCGCTGTGCGCGCGATAATTGCACTACACTAACGCAATAGCGCCAGCTAAACCCTTCATTTGAGCCGTGCAATTTTCTTTTATTTCTTTTAGATTTGAATGTAAGATGTTAATGTGAGTATAAGGTTCATGTTATTACAGAAGTGTAGGAATAATACAGATGAAAGGGATATAAAACAAATATAAAATGACTCATTCTCGGAACAAGCTAAAACTATTCGCACTCAGGAACATCATTAGTACTTTTCTCCCTCGGGCCAGTACTAGTTGATGTTCCTTCGATGCGAATAGTTTCAGCTAGATCCTCGAGTGTCATTGTACATTTGTATGTTATGTAATATCGTAGACTAAAAATGATAAGATAAAGGTTTCACATTACCACCCTAAACAGTAGTATAGCAGAATACCTACATTTGAGACCAAATTTATTTGCTTAAAGGGAGTGTATCATGGCAAATACTTTTTAATGCCATCTACCACCTGCCATCTTTGGACAACTGCACGTAAACGGATGGACTTGATTTACTGGGTCAGCGCGCGCTAGCATTCGCGTAACAGAGGGAAGTTCTCCTCACGCTTCGGTTTCGCATATTTTGCAGGCACGTGAATGCTGTGGTCGCGTTGTCCGTAATCGTATTATACCCGATTGGCCCCGGGTAGGGCCACGGGAAAGACACATAGCCTTGTCATGACACACTCCCTTTAAAATCTAAGGATGGATATAGTGACACAAAGTATTGACAGGGTGGGTATAAAAGGGGTCAAAACTCCCTTTATATACAGTGAGGTGTTACAAATACAAAACAAGGATAAAACAGCAATCCATCTGGTGGGGCATGCAATACAACACAGAGAAAATAAAAATAAAACAACATGAACAAAAATCAAAGCTGATAATATCTCACCTCGCCCTGTAGTTAAAAATATGTGTACACGGTGCAGAAAAGGAAGATTCCAAACAATTTCAAAAATTATAAGTCAATTATCAAGTTAAAAACACAATCTAACAGGAAAAAAGAAGTTTAAACGCTACACGTATCGTTAAAATGTTTGATGATAATCTTGTGTCTTCAATTATGATAATGTTGGACTTTTTTCAAAGACACAAACTCTTTTTTATTTTACTAGCTTCATTCATGCTTCATACCAAATATTTTCCAGGCTGTAACAGAAGATGTAACATCGAAGTTGTAAACAATAATGTAAATGACACAGTAAATGGATGCAGTAAAATCTGTGTCAACCAAACATCAAAGAGTAACATCCGACAAAATAACTTTTGAACAATATTAATAAATTTTAAACCAAAAACACTAATTATCACAGAAACATGTGATTTGTTAGACTTGAGCATATTTGCTCTCAAAATTTCTTCTTTTGACAAATGACATTAGTTTCACAAAATATTAAGATATAAACATTTTGTTACATAAAGCAAATTGAGTGACATAGAATTCTGTTAAACATACAGGTGTTAGTATAAATTAGATGACACATAACACACATTACAGATTTGAAACTGTACAAAGACCTGTGAAAAAATAAGTCTGAAATGTTCTTAAAATGCTTCTTATTCTAAGAAGTAAAATAAAACACTTTTCAGTCAGATTACAGCTCCTGATTGCACAGATATAAAATACTATTGTCATTGAAAGAGAGGAAGTTGATACAATTTATAGAGCATTAAACCTAATACAGATTGTGCAAAAATGAAACATTACAGACAGAGCAAGACAACATATGATGTTATGATAAAAGGGACCTAGGGAAGAACAGTATTAAAACTGAAGAGACAGTTTTGGGAAAAGAAAGGCTCTATTGTATCATCTTTTGAAAGCTAGAAAGGCATCAACTCTGTTTTGATGTTTAAGTGGTAACATCCTTCTGGCTCTCATGTCCTTTATTTGCTAGAAGAATAAACAAATCAAACAACAACAGCACTTTCAGCAACATCGCTGTAATCAAATTTACATGGCATGTACTCTGATAGACACATGTTCAATCGTCAAAAGCATTACTTAGCTATATTTGATACACGTGCATATAACTATTATAAACAACTTCAATATTTGAGTAACATACCTTGTCAGCGATAAGCCCTTCAAACCCGTCGGTGATGCGGTAGACCCTATATCCCTGGAAGAGAGACGTTCGGATAAACGCCCTCACAGTTGCATTCATGCCAGCTGCAGGTGCTCCGACGTTCATAACAGCCAAGTTGTGATTGCTCTGTGGAATCATGAATTAAATATGCAATAATTACTTTGTTTAAACTTCTAGAAATGCTTTCACAGTGGTATCCAGGCATCACTCTCATTATCAAGACCTTGTCTAAATTTTAAGTAATTTTACTTTTTTTAAATACTTCCATATGCTCATTAGGGCCTTTAAAAATTTAGTTCTGTTTACTTTCTGTTTGATTCTATTGAGCATAAATGCTAAAAGTTTTTAACTATCCTGTCCTCATTTGTAATGACGAGGCTTGAAATGAATTGAATATTGTTTACAATTATCGTATTCAAAAAACAGTAAAGAACACTAGATACTCCTTTTCTAAAAGTAGACATTTACCTGGCCAAAATTAGTGAAAAGATTGAGTTTGCAGATGTATGTTTCACGGAAAACACATTTTTGATAAAAAGTTACGCAAATAAACAGAAATGCTGACAGAGATAGGTTATACACATCTACACCCGTTTTTTTATCCTTTCAAAAACAATGTTCACTCACATGTACATGTACATGACATGGTAATCTCACATTTGATACGATAACAACTGCTCCAGAGGTTATTCACCAAAGATAACAGATTAAGGTTAGGGTTATGGTTGGGTTTTAGGATAGATTTACGGTTAGTTAAAGGGTTTGGTTCGGGGTTTAAGATAAGCATTCAAAGGTAGAGTAAATTCACCCTAGATAGTGCAATTGTTGCTGTATCAATGGAGTACATAGAGCGCTTTCGCAAACACGACAGGGGAATTACGGCAATACAGCTCTTCCGTCCCGTTTAGGGAACGAACGCTATCATGTCCGCGTACGGTTGTGAAAATCAACAAGACAGAGAAAATTCTGATTCACGCATGCGCAGATTGTTTTTTCGCTTGCGTTATCGTTGTCTTTACCTTCCGTAATGTTTGCAAAAGCGCCCTAGTGTCTTAGAATCAGGGATACTTACAGCACAAAGTCTACCATCCAAGCTGCACACCTCCTCCTTGGGCTTGATTCGGGATAGTGTCAGGTAAATGCTTAGATTGCTCAAAAAACTCCTAAATTATTTGAAGAAAAAAAGGTCAAATGAAAATGTTGAAGCGTGCCAAAGATAAACATGTTTGAATTACATGTATAATAAAAGACATTTGGGAAGTAATATTTGACCAACTTATCTTTTATCTCCATTTTGTTTGAGCCAATTAAGGCTGAGGTAAAAAAAGACATGCTGTTATTTTCACTATCAAAATTCACACACTCTCTCTCTCTCTCTCTTTAACCTCCTTCTTTTTCTTACAGCCATTTGAATGCACACCCTTTTACTGTCAGCCCATTAGAACACACTCTTTTCATTCTTTTCCTTCATACCCTTTATAAGCCATCTTTCATGATAATTTGTGAAGTATTATTTAACTGAAAACACAATCTCACCTTCCTCTCAGAGAGCATGCCTTCTTGAAGTCTTTCGCTCTCAAAGCCTCACCAACCGCCTGAGTCTGTTAAAGAGCAAGAAAATAAAATCATAGTTTTTCCAGAAAATACAATGTAAAAGAATAAGGTACCTTGTTGACAACACAATATAAAACTGCTATGAAGCAGTAGATCATCTACTGCTTCATAGCAGGTTCGAAACTCACTGGTCCCAATATTTTTTATCTGACTTGTTTTCAATTACAAGATCGGGCACAAGATCTCTATTTCCTGGGTGCAAGCCAAAATTTCTTTACAAAAATATGAGTTCTAGGAAGGAAACAAGAATATAGAAGAAAGAAGGAGACACAGGAATGGGAGGTTGACAGGAAGAGGTGATGAGAATAATGGAAGGTGTGAGGATGGGCAGACACAAATTTACATGTGCCAGTATGCATGATAGGAGACTTAATAATAAGAGAGGGAAAGAGAGAGAGAGAGAGAGAAAAAAAATGGAAAGGAGAAAACAATATAGGAGCATCATATTTATAGAGGGAGGGTGGAATAAATGAAGAGTGATACGTGAGAGGGTGGAAGAGAAATGGAGGGAGGGAGGGAGAGAAGAGGAGAAGGGAGTGTAAGATTGAAAGGGAAGGAAACGAAGGAGAGAGAGAGAGAGACAGAGAGACAGAGAGAGAGACACAGAGAGAGAGAGAGAGAGAGAGAGAGTGAGAAAAGAAGGGGAGTAGACAAAATCTCACCTTTCTAACACAGTCCATGAGAGGAACCCGTATAGCCTTGTTACCGTCTAGAGATACCACATAGGCTGGCATGTCAGGCTTGGTATCTACCAGAGACAGTACTGCTTCAGCACCCATCCTACACCCCTGTCATAAGGATACCAAAAGTACAGCACAGGTTTAGCAACGTTTAACAGTAACAGTGATAGGGAGAAAATAATAAACTCTAAAGCCTGTCTGCACAACTTGTAGCTACTTGCGCCCTCTATATAGCAAGCAATGCCTAAGCGGTGCCTGTTGGTCCCCCATGTTCTCCTTTTTCTTATGTTAATTGAGAGCTGATTTGATGAGATAACCACCTTTAGACAATGCAGGGAGGTCTAATCCTTACTTGTCAAACTAGTGCCGACAGGCTTTAAACCAACAGATAGATGACTGTCAAAAAATTACTGCTCAACGATTGCTGTCACCTGTTCTTTTTTAAAAATTGAATGACTAGAGGAAGATGAAAGTGTGTTCAATATATGGACACAGCTAGATCATGATTTTAAATAACATACATTCAATATAAGGATATTGCTAATTGTAATTTTCACAAGACTATCTGAACTCTCTCCTAGCCATAAAAGATGTTCTCATTTAGTATTTTAGCCTTTATATATAACAAGCACCCAAATTTCTGCACCGGTGTGATAAAAGAACTGATCTTTCATTTTCTTAACTGCAGCATGAGAAAACAAATGTGAATGTTTACTTTAAGAAACCCAAGAATTTGGGATGAGTGCTTACCAGAATTCGGTCAAAGGCCGATGGGTTACCGCCTCGCTGGACGTGACCAAGAACAGTCACTCTGGTGTCAAACCCTAGACGCTTGATAATCAGCTGATGAAAAAAAACAACAGTAATTTAGTATTTACAATTATCAATTTGGGGTGTCACTAATATAACTGTGAGTCAGCATCCTGGAACATCTGATATGGTTTCAGTATTCATTGCGGTGTATAGCTGTTTGGTCTACAAATAATTTAACCATAAATACTAATTATCACCAAATAATTATACGACCTTATAGATGGTAGACGAAATGGGCATTAGAAAAACTGGTTATTAGACTAAATGAATAGACCAAATGGGAAGTAGGCTAATTGGAACACATGGATTGTAGATGGGCTGGGTGTAGACCAAATGGGAATAGACTTATCAGGTAGTAGATGAACTGGATATAGACCACACGCCAACCTTTATTGCACTTCAGTTTAATTCATTTACTCATTCCATTTCTAAAATCTACAAACAGTTGTACATGACAAAAAATACATATTTATTAAACAAAACAATAAGGTTTGAAAAGCTGCTGAATATGTCCTCATATTATTCCACTCGTAGAAAAATACAGAAGTCAGATATTTTGATTTCCATCCATGATTTCTTATTAAGTATCTGAAAGGAATGCTACCTACCATCCAAGAGAGCATGAATAAAGACTTATAAATCAAAAACAAGTTTTGTGAAATAGAATAGAAAGATAGAAAATAGATAGAGCATGAATAAAGACTTCTAGATCACTTACATCCTTGATGAGGTTGGCTGTGATTGGATCTCCTTCCTGAGTGCAGGCGCCCTCTGCTACGATGATGATGTTCAGACGTTTACGGAACTCTCGGGTCTGTTGGTAGTAAAAGAATCACATATACACGTACATGTATTAAGAAATATTATAGAAACGATGATCAATCAAGGCAATACTATACTTTGAATAATTTGTATGTTTGTTTTTTTTCTTCATCTTTTCCACCTTTCTCATGGGAAAGTTTGCACTATTCATGTGCATAAACAGCAATATTGAAACAGGCAGCATGATACAATGTATGAATGGTATGACTAACAATTTACCAGTGATACTAACTTGTACTATTTCGAAATAGCCTTACACTCACAGAAGGGAACCTTTTTCTTTTTCTATTTTTCTGAACATAATTGAGAATAATCTAGCCTAGAATAATTTAACACTGTACAATATGGAATACACTCTAATTGAATATCAAAAGTGGAAACATTCAGAAGAAAAGATGATTAAGTACATCTTCTTTGAAGTAACACATTCTGTTTTCATTTCTTTATGTACTTGTTGAAGTTGACCTTATCCTCTCAGTTAAAAGGCATCTTGTGGTATTTCTGGCATCAGATGAAATATATCAATGACTGCTTAAAGCGGGACTGCACTACTTGAGCGCCCTCTATAAAGCAAATAATGCCTAAGCGGTACCCATTGGTCCCCCATGGTCCCCTTTTTCTTATGTTGATTTAGAGCTGATTTGATGATATAACCACTTGTCAGTGACCATGCAGGGAGGTCTTATCCCTCCGGGCCAAACTAGTGCAGATAGGCTTTAAATCCCAATATTCTGAAGAAATTATTGGGGACCTATCCTATATCTGTATTCTTTTTCATCGACCTGTTCATTTGGTATATTTATTTATTCATTATTTATTTATTAAAACATCTTTTAACAGGATGACATTGATCAGCTCGCATATGTATGAAATATTATCTACCTGCTGCAGTTTGTTACAGATCTTATTTTCCCAGCCAGCATCTGGTGGCATTTCAGGAATGAAGATCCAATCGGCAGCGGACGCCAAGCCTGCAACCAAGGCTAGGTAACCACAGTGACGACCCATGACCTCCAGTACGAAGCAGCGCTGATGGCTAAATGAAAGAATGTAATAATCATGTATGGTTATAACCATAGTGATGGATTCTTAGTAACCCAGGGTAGCCACATCAGTATTGATACTGCTTGCCCTGCAGGTACTGCAGTTATCATTACCCCAGCAAGGCTAGGTACCCATTTCCAACTAGGCGGAGAGTGGCAAATTTGGATTGATGTCTTGCCAACAGAAATTAGTACCAGGCTGAGCAATTGTAGCCAGAGCATAGTTTGTATAGCATGGGGTATATATATATATATATATATATAAATCTAGAAACTGTAATACAGATTGCATCCACTGCCTCTATTTTGTTGGTGTGATTATGAACTGACGAATCTGTCATATACATTACTGTACAGATCCTTTGGTTGATAATATTGATGATTTGTGCAATGCAGTGTCTGTGACTATGGTCATGCCAGTACCACAGAATTCATCAATATTTGCATCATGAAAGTGTACAGAGTACCAAGCTACACTTTGTATACAGAGTGTATCATAAAAAAATGTCATCAATGCTGAGCTACACAAACCTTGATGCTGTAGTACTGATTGCATCCACTGCCTCTAAGATCCTGTGCAGTGCAGTGTCTGTGCCTATGGTCATGTCAGTACCACAGAAATCATTGTCGATGGAACCCACCTGGTGATGTGGAGAGAGAGAGAGGAGAGAGAGAGAGAGAGAGAGAGAGAGAGAGAGAGAAGAGAGAGAGAGAGAGAGAGAGAGAGAGAGAAGAGAGAGAGAGAGAGAGAGAGAGAGAGAGAAGGATAGAGAGACAGAAAGAGAGGGTGAAGAATGAAGGAATTATTAATTAAATACATATAGCTAGAGTTGACTTTGAAAATACATGAGGAGTATTCCATGAGGACTGAGTGTTGCATTACACTGCTATAGTAGATGAGAGTATATTGGCTAGCAGTTAGACAGAAACACAGACGTTTTCATTAGGAGGATTATTTCTAAAAAGTACTCTTATCCAACTTTTGAAAGTGTTAATATATTATTTTCCACTGAAAATGTTCTAATGAAAGGGGATGAAATTCTAGAAAAGAGGAGATGGTTAAGAAAAAGGAGAGAAGAAGACATTACATTTCCTGTTCAAACCAGGATCAAGATGAGGGAGATCAAAATATGGAAAAATCACGAAGTATATAAAGAAAGAGAAGAGGGATAGAAAGAAAGAGGAGTGTATACATAATATCTCACTCACCATGCCAACGACGTTGAGGTATTCACAAGCTTTAGCCTCTTCTGAAGTTATCTTGCCTAAGAGTATCAAAAACAACACAACATTAAACTTCTCTTTTTAAGTTTAAAAAAAAACTTTTTTCTTTCAAAGTTAAAATATCCTGGAACATTCCTGAGTAAATGTTTTGAAATAAATAGATGAATGAATGAACTTATCAATCCTGTAGTTCTTATGCATGTCATCTGTCCTTGATTGCTTCTTTATAATTCCAGCTTCTCTCCATTCTCATCAAACACATTTCAATCTGACTGCTACTACATCTTTTCAATCTTTACAACAACAAGTGACCGTGAAGCTCTCCAGTAACAAAAAAATCATTTTACATATAAAATAATTTTCTACTTAATTTCTTTAAATGAGAGAAAACAATGGAAGCACACTTAAAGGTGGATTATACCCTCAAGTGATATTCTTGTAATCTTAACATATGGATCATGACTGGTAAATGATACCTTCTTTGGAGAGTTCTGCTACAAAGTTGCCCCACTCTTGTCTGAAGACATTAGCACCAGTCAAGCTACCGTCTCCCCCGATGACCACCAGGTTGTTGATGCCTTTCTTGATGAGGTTCATGGCAGCCTTCTTTCTTCCGTCCCTCTCCCTGAAGTCCTTGCAGCGAGCACTCCCGATCACGGTACCACCCTGCAGCATTCAGACAAACAGTAAGGAAGCATGATTGAAGATGGTATCGCGAGAGTTCCTACATGTATGTGAAAGTTGCCTCCCAACCTGCTTAGCCAAACAACTGGTTTTCATCACATTTAAAGTGTACCGATCACCTGATGAAAAAAATTGTGTATAGCTAGAATGTATGAAATCAACCAGAAGAAAAAATTACGAGGCATTCTATAAGCTAACACCTACGGAATATGAAGATACTGTAATAAAGGAACATGAAAACCCTGCATTTTTATGTGTTTGAATGACAACAATTCATTCCTCTTAAAGATATAGGATCCCTGAAGTGCTAGCATGAAAGAACCTTTCAAGAAAGCAATGCTATGATACAAGAACTCTGTTAAAAAAACGATGAAGTGATGTGATTATCTTCTTACCAGCTGGATGATATTAGAAACATCTGACCAAGAAAGCTCCTTGATATGATCGCCTCCATCACACATCCCTTGGTAACCCTGCAAAATTGGAAGGAAAGGGATATAGAGGGCAGGAGAAGAAGGAGAGATAAAGAGGGCAAGAAGAGCAGGAGAGAGGAGAAAAGAATGGAGAGAGGGGTAGAGAGATGGAAAAAGCCACACAGGGGGCGAGAGAAAGAGAGAAAGAGAGAAAAGAGGGAAAGAAAGAGAGAGAAGGGGCAGAGATAATGAATTAGCAAAAACAGAGAAGTGATCACCCAAAATAGGTTAAAACAAAATGATCAAAGATAGTAATCAAATAAAATTGTTAAAAGAAACATAAAACAAGAGAGAGATAGAGACAGAGGAAAATAGGAAAGGTTTTTTAGATACCGGTAGGCACAGACCATGTGATAATAATAAAGACAGCGTGAGGTATGTACATAATAATCTCAAGTACATTAATGTATACATGTATGTGACACCATGCCATGGTAATATCATGTTCAACTGTCTAGTGAGACAAAGAGAAAGGTCAAAACAGTATACAGTACCGGTAGGTCACATACAATCAACTTCTTTCTCACAAGCTTCATTCTATAACCTTGCACAATGATGTGACATCATGGTAATAATATGAATACTTCCTACATTACTTATCATATGCATTTGTTTCCATTTGAACACAGTTTCTTCATCCCTTGTTTGATGTTTCAACTTAAATTGAAGCAGTATTACATTTTTGTCAACTCATTTCCAGTTCTAGTATCAAGTACCCCAAATTAAACAATGCAAAACTTAATATTTCTATCGATTCCTAGGGATGACATGACAAGGCACCAAACAGCGGAAAGAAATATAATTTGTGTATAGCTACATGAAGGATTTACATGTATGAAATCAACATTGAAAATTGTTACCTGGTAGGTAAAGGATAACATAAAGGGCCCAATTCTATGTGAATGCATGTGCATGCGTCAACTAGTCTACTCAACAAGGCGCTTTTCTGTGTACTGAGCCTGAGGTTATATTTTAACAACACTATCTCTTTGTAAAGTAATATACGTTCAAAACTCATATTTTGAATAATAATAATAATAATAGCTCACATTTATAATGCGCCTAATACTACGTTTCTAGGCGCGGAACATATTAATACAGTACAGTACAGTTATATATATATAACCCCTTATGAAGAGTAAAACCTTTGTTTTGGTGATGGGTACAATTCACACTTGAAAATCTCACCTCATGTATTGCATAGACCTTGAATCCAACATAGATCCCTATACGTGCAACAGATCTCACAGCTGCATTCATACCTGAGGCGAAAATGAAACAGTGATTGTATTAATTTACAAAATGTTCAAAACCGAATTAAAAAATCAATTACCGGTAGGTTTAAATCCAATTAGGTTTGAAGCCAACTTCAAAATTATGTGAGTAAAGTAACCAAATGAACTGTATTGAACAAAAATGTTCAGATAAAAAAAAATTAAAAGGTCTGCATAATTAGACTAATCTTTCAGTGATACCATTATCATCAAAAGGTCACTTGAACCATGTAGGTCCATACTTGAACAGCAGGTCTGCTCACTTGATCACAACACTAGCTGAATGCCTAATCAATGCCAATTTGATTTAAGCCAGTAATGACTAGCTTTATGACTTTAATAAATAAATTCACTTGTTGCTTTCAGGGGCAGCTGACATTTTGAATTCTTTCATGAAACTTTTTAATGAACATATTGTGTATTTAATAATTCAAATAGAATAATGTGTAATAAAGATTGTATAGTAATTAAAATAAGTGTAAGTGATAAGATGGAGTTTAACCATTAATCAAATCAAGGCTTTGCAATGTCTTAGCAAAAGTCATTGACCTTTTTACTGTTTCTTTAAAATAAAAAAAGTACACATGTACACAAAAATATAATAACTTTCAGCAGTGACGGATAAATTCATGAAGTAAATCAGTAATTAGTTGCTTTCAGCAGTGGCTGAATTTCAGAATGCAATCATAAAGTATTGGGACTTTTTAAATGAATTATGTAAACATGCAAAATTTGTTCCAATAGTTATAATACATGTATAGCATGTACATATAGATCTAGACTAAGTTTATATATCAGTTTCACTAAGCAAAAGTGAAATATTAGCAGGGGTTCTACCAATTTACCATTTTCCAGTAAGCTAGCGATCCAAATGTGTAACTGAATGTCATAAGGACATTTTTCACTATTTCTGTAGAAATATATTTCTTCAACTTTAGTTTCATTTTGCTTTTTCTAACAGATGAAGGTTGAGAATCAACTTCCAATTTGGAACGTCCGAAATAGAGCATGTAATATGTATTGTAACAATCACATGGTTAACATTTGTCTTTCAATTTTATTTCCATGTTTACACAGCCAGTTTTGCACAGACATTCACCAATGACTTGTCCTGACTTTAATTGGTTATGACAATAATTAAAAGTATAAAAATATGACCTGATACAAGTGATAGTAACTAGTGAGACAGTGATTACTGATAGATTTTTTAACGTTTTCCAGAATAATAATTAAAATATCCCCCCGGCCCAGCTAAATTTACCTTGAGAATCACCTCCACTTGTGAATACTGCAATACATTTTCCTTCTCCCACCATATTAAAGCCCTCTCCTCTTGCTGAAAACTGTCCCACTGTATCCACCATGTCATATGACAAGGTTTGACGTCTTTGTAAGTGCGATGCACTTGTGCTGTGCTGCATCAACTGTTCTCTGATGGGCGATGTGAATACGTCGTCCCCTCCCACCGGTCTAGACCCGGGTATTGGGTCTTGCCGTGGCCGCTTCGTCGGCGAGCCTGGATCCGTCATGTTGTTTCTAAGATTACACTTTCTTTGTGAGAGGAATATACTCGTTTGATGAACAAGAACCAGCTAATACCTGGATATTAGCCGTTGGTTGAAGGTATATGGTGAAATGTGGTCTAATTCGGCGGTAATTCAGACTGAAATTAGTTGCCGACTCGTTCTAAAATTCAGCCGGTCTCGTCCCTGGATCATTTCATGCACACACGTTATACAGGATGCGCAGATTATTTATAATTCGTTATATCTGCGCATGATCAAGAAATGCACGTACACATACCTCACAGCTGGTAGTCTCAAAACATACATTCTAACAGGACAAGTTGATGTGAAATCTTATCATACTGTTTTTCTTCCCTAAATGTTCAACCCCATTCCATGACATTACATTGTATCAGATACAGGAGTGTATATGTATTTTGTTCTAATATACTTTTTTTTTCTCTCATCTTTTTTTCCTCAAATTCTTCTGTCCCTAAAAATTGTTGTTGCATTCAATTTATATCCTTATCTTTTTCACATATCTCTCTCTCTCTGCCCTCACCGTTTCCCCTCTCTCATTTTTCATGTCATTCATTCTTCTCATATTTTTTAAATGTCTTGTACACGGTTCTCTATCAGTTTTTATCACATCATTCTTTCTCTCCCCCCCCCCCCCTTCCTCTCTCTCTCTCTCTCTCTCTCTCACTCTCTCTCTCTCACTCTCTCTCTCTCTCTCTCTCTCTCTCTCCCTCCCTCTCTCTCTCACGACACATCATTCTTTCGTTCACAACATTTTTTTTATCACATTGTTCAATCTTACACTTCAGAGCAAATCTCTTCCTATATATCACACTATTGTTTCCATCTCTTTTTCTGATAAAAAGTCTGTCATTTTCCTCTAAATACAGAATTAAAATGACTATCTCCAATGCATGGGTTTTATATTTATTTGCGAGTTCATATCAGGGATGATAGTGAGCACTAAGAAAAAGGTTTTTAGTTTTTCCCTCAACCACGCCTCCTGGAGTAAAAAAAAAGAAAGAAGAGGATTCGGGGGAGGGGGGGGGGGAATGGAATCTAACAACATTTCCCCCCTTTCGAGTAAGAAAATTGGAGGAAAATAGGGGGAAATAGGAAAGAATAGAGAAAATAAAGGAAAAATCAGCAAAATAGGGGAAATAGGGATAAAATCGGAGGAAGAAAAATGAAATTGGGGGAAAAAGACAAAATATGGAGAAAAAAAAATGAAATTGGGTAATTATCAGGCCTGGTTCATATGGAACATTCAAATATATTCTCCATCACAAAACACTTTATGCATCCCTAAAAACAATTGGAAACAAAATGCCTTGTATAACTTTTCCATATTTTATGATCCTTCAATCTTCATTTTAATCTCTTTTTCATGCTTGTTTTATTTTCATAAACAATCACACTATGAACATGACAGACAATGAAAGCGGACAAAATATACAGTTCCTCAGGTAAACAAAGGGACATCCCTTCACTGCTATTATGTAAAAATGTGTAGAACAGGTGTCACATGCATATTCACCTGTTCTACACATTTTTACATAATAGCAGTGAAGGGATGTTCCTTTGTCTACCTGAGGAACTGTATATTTTGTCCGCTTTCATTGTCTGTCATGTTCATAGTGTCATTTACATGCATATAGGGACTTTGATGAAAATTTACTTTTTAAAAAACTGCCATGAACAAATAATTTAAAGATACCTTATAATTCACTGCTAATTTCATCATAGCGTGAAGCATCTTTTCAATACTACCTCACAACCTAATACAGAAACACGATAGTTTTTCCTCTTGTCAGGCATACTACAGATTTACATATGAAAGAGAGTTGTGAGGTGGAATATTCTTTGTTTAGGACCTTTTCATGAGAACCTGTGCATACATTATCCCCATATGTAATAAGGAAAAGGTACTTGAAACAAAAATAAATACAGTACATGGTTTTGATGTCACTACAAGAAGTAAAGTAAAAGTATAATGAGTCAAACTGATCAAAACCATAGCTGAAAAGCACATTGAATGAACATGGACTTACTAGTTAGTCCATGGTATAAACTTCCATTATCTTTTAATGTACATGTACATGATTGAGCAGTCTTTTAAAGGTTAACTGCACTAAAATAAACTTTGCCACTTTTATTTCAACTTTGCTTCTATGTGCAAACTTTACTGCTGCTATATCCAATACCTGGATCCATATTTATAAAACCTTTTAGTTAACAACTAGGCTTAGAAAGGTTTTATGAATATGATGAGCTAAGAACTCTGAGAGCCCCCATTTGATTTCTAGTCAAGTGTCTGCATTATTTATTTCTAAGTCTTTATTTCCTATTTTACTTTTTGGAGGTGATTTTCAACAATTTTGGGGGTCTTCTTCTAAATCTTTATTTGATGATTCGAACATTTTGGTGATACACATGGAATTCCATTTTACATTTAAACCAACTGAGCAGCAGTTTAGAGGGAATTCTTGACAGTTTATTTCAAAATGTATTCCCTACATTACCTTTAAAAAGAGTTATTGGGGATAAACCTTTTTATTTTAATTTTTTAAGTCATCAAAATCAGCTGCGTGAATAAAAGAAGTTACCATAAAAACCGAAGCACCAAGTTCTTGATCTGTAGCAATACATTATCACAATGAGAAAGAAAAGGTTCAACATTTCCATTCTTTTCTCCTGCATTCTTTAGTGTACTCATCAAACACCACTTGCTCTTTGCAATCATGATCTTACGGAGGTTTTTTATCTCAATACTTTAATAATTTATGGGCAATTAAAATGTATGTACATGAAGATGATGGGACGGCAGCCCCTGTCTGGGCAGGGCAACCTCTAGTGGAATGTCAATATTTCTTATTTCTGTTGTAAGGACAAACAGCCTACTTCAGGTCTGTAAAATTTCAAGGACGTCACCGACTGTCAGTGTTAGTAAAATTAGTTTGGGCCTATTCTCCAGATATTGTGGTTGTCCAAAATCCTGGCCCCCGTTTCACAAATTTTGTTATCAGTGACAAATGACAGTTTCTGTTATAAGCTAGTGAAATCCTTGCTTCTGATTGGTTATCAGCAGAATTGTCACTGATTTTTGTCATTTGTCATTGAGAAAAGTCTTTGTGAAGCGGATCCCTGATGGTTTGCTCAAGCAGAATTTCTTCATACAGGTTTAATCTGTGGACTATCAAAGTCTATCATTCCCATATGCTTTATACAGGAACAACTCTGTCTGCATACACAATGGGTCTGCAAATGAGCTCCTTGGTCGTTGTCATAGTATTGGCCAGGGTCTTCAGAGTGACAGTACTCTAGTATCCATCTCCTTGCCTGTGGTTAACAAATCATCCTCTGTTCTAGATATGACAATCGCCATGGTGTCATCTCAGTGATGATCCACATGCAACCTCTTCTTTGGTTTCTGTGTTTGCCGCCCTCTCTGGACTTACTGTGTCTGCCGCCCTCTCTGGGCTAACACTGTCATCGCTCTTCAGTCTCTTGTGTATGTTTTGAACCAGAAACTTGTCCCGTATTGCATTGTGTTCTCCGTATTTGTTGTCAGATATCGTTGCCATGGAAGTGGAGGCATCGCTGACCTGAGGGAGAAATCGTTTAAGAAAGTCAGAGGTCATTGATAAGATATACATGAGCTTAAGCAAAAGGAGAATGCACAACCTGAATCTTCTGAATGGAATCCGGACATCGCTAGAAATCAGCACTATTGTCCAGAACTGGTTTGTCTATCGTGCGTCGTGCATTTTTAGTTCAGCTTGAAGAGGTCTTTATCTAATTGATTCTGACCTATCCCCCACCCGCTGGACTAATAACCTCCCAAACAACTAGACCCTGGATGGTTGCCTCCTGAAGCAATTACCATTTTGTTCATACTTGCCCATAAAGGAAGGTTCTTGTGTGAAGTTAGTTTGTTGGGCAAGGACATGGGGGTGCTAGTCCGTGGGTTAGTTGTCCTAGAAATGAAAACGAAGAATGCTAGTGGCCTTGAGTAGAGCAATAATCTGTGGTTACCTAATACAAGGAGCAGATTCTAAAGATGGAGTCCTTGTATTAGACAAACCAACAACTATAAGCACAGGCTTCAAAGCAAATATCTGTTTATACTTGGTGCAAATGTCACAGGAAAGTGGCCTGTGAGAGCCATAGCATCACAAGTATGTAGCATGACATATATATTTCCCTTGCTGGTATTCTTATAAAGAAGGATTTACTCTTTATTTACCCTTTGTATTTCTCTTTCTGAATTCCCTATAGCCTGGTCGGAGCAACAAGTATATTATGTACTGGCGCTGAACCTTGCATATACCGGTACTTACTTTCTCAGTACATGAATCTTAAAGCCCCTTTAAAGTGTTGAGAGCCCCAAATTCACCAAAAATTTGATGGCAAAATTTCACTTAAATTGTATCATAATGTGAAAGAGGATGTCATTTAAGACACACTTCTGCAAAGATTTCCCCACCCCCCCCAAAAAAAAATGTGTTTGATAAAAGAATACATAATTTGGGTTATCTGTTGTACGCAGAAAACCTAAATTTTGTATTCTTTCATCAATATTTGACTTCACACACATTTATTTTGAAAACCCTTACAGAAATGTGTCTTAAATGACATCCTCTTTCACATTATGATACAATTTAAGTGAAATTTCGCCTTCAGATTTTTGGGGCTCCCAACAATGTAGAGGGAAGTATTAAAGAAATCAAGCAAATTATTTTCTCTGATGTTGACTTACATGATGAGTTTTCTCCATGGTGATGAGTCTTCTACTCATGCTACTGTTGAGAATCTGTTCATCGTTTGCAACAATCTTTAGACAGGGATGGTGGGGAATCTGATCTTCTGAGTATCTGAAAATAATTCACAGTAGTATTGACTTAGACATACACTGCTTAACCAAGGACCTGTACAGAAAGACCACTTGTCTATAAAGACCACAATTCCTGTTTCATCTGCCTTCAACCATTACATTATTTGGCCTGTTGTAAAATAAATTATTCTCAAGATGGTCCACGAGAAACATACATGTATGTTGAGGAAAAACATAATCTGCAACAATGCCGACATACGTGAACAAATACTTTTTTGCAAAGTAGTTTTGAGTTTGAATAAGGAAATAAACTTTTCAAGAAAATCAGCATAACAAGCATTTATTCCGTAAAAAAAATGACCACCATGCAGGGATTATAGCGCTTAAGACTTTGGTGGTAAGCGCTTTATAAGCATCGTTTTTATTATTATATTATTATTATTGCAATCATCCATACTTACTCTGGTCTGTAAATTGGCAAAAAATAAACAAGCCTTCCATGCAGCCTGAGATGGTGAGCTGAGAAGTTGAGAAGGTCGGTGAATATGTCGGAGAGAAAGTAGCTCTGGGTTACGGGCACATGGTAGGAGCCCCTGTAAGTAAATGTAGGGAAATGGGGTTAACTGCAGCAGAACTAAAGTTAAAGGTAATACAAAGTTTTGGGAAATTTTGAAATTGGGTGGATATTGATTCTTTACAATTTTGATATAATTGGATACCTCTGTGGATGTTTTATAAGAACTAAAAAAATTAGCCCCTAAAACACTCCTTCTTTCGAGAAAAATTTAATATAAAAATTAACGGCAGAACTAAAGTTAAAGGTAATACAAAGTTTTGGGAAATTTTGAAATTGGGTGGATAGTGATTCTTTACAATTTTGATATAATTGGATACCTCTGTGGATGTTTTATAAGAACTAGAAAAATTAGCCCCTAAAACACTTCTTCTTTCGAGAAAAATTTAATATAAAAATTAACGGCAGAACTAAAGTTAAAGGTAATACAAAGTTTTGGGAAATTTTGAAATTGGGTGGATACTGATTCTTTATAATTTTGATATAATTGGATACCTCTGTGTATGTACATGTATTATAAGAAATAAAAAAATTAGCCCCCAAAACACTTCTGCTTTTGAGAAAAATTGAATACAAAAATTTACCGGTGCTCCCGGTAAATTTTGATAAATTTCAAATAGCGCCTAATAGGGCCGTACAATGGTAGCTGCGACCATGAAAATCTCTGAATATGTAGCTGTGATATATAATTTCCAAACAGGAATAGCTAATTGTTCGATTTTAGTCAAGAAACATTGTTTTATAGCTAAATTAATATATTGACCTTGAGAGAGAGCTATACAGCATAAAGAGTTTATTATTACAATTTTGTAACTTTCGACTTGATTTTAACCGCGACAACGATCGTTGAATATTGTAGGATCACATTATGCTTCCAAAATGTTCATTTGAACCAAATTCATGAGCCCATACCAAAACTTTGTATTACCTTTAATGACGTCTGCAGTAATGTTCATGCCCACTTTAGCTGATCATGTATTTTCTTTGTACAATAACAGGAACTCCAGGCATTGTGCATGGTGAATACATTACCAGCTGGCCCTGCACAGCTAAGGTGTGCAAGGACATTACTGGGGAACATCCTTGAACTTTTATCAAAGGGAATTGAGTATCTAAACTCAGAGGGTGATAGAGAAAACACATTATGCCAGAACACTGTAATGATTCAATTCTTTATTTGAAGAAAAAAAATCAAGAGTGTGAATAGTAACATTTGACTAGGGAACTGGGCATCGTTTCACGAAACTGTCGTACGTACAAGCTTGCAGACATCCCTTTGGGACACGTGTTAATTGCAATATACGTGTTTCAGTAGGGTGTCAGTGAACTTGTACTAATGACGGTTTTGTGAAACACTGCACTGGTACACTATCGTGCACCTTATTGTTGGTCACTTCACATCTCACATCATTATAGCCTGTTACTTACTGATCATCACGTGCACCATGCTCCTTCTCTGTCCCAACTTTCCTGGTCTTCTCACGGATACCATAGGGTGCTGGAGGGATGGTGAACAAAGGGATACTCATATAAATTGATGTAGTAGGAAATGCAAAAACTAAATCATAAGAGGTGAGATAATTAGAACTATCACTAATAGTGACTGTACTAAAAATGCTTTTTCTGTAGGATACAAGCTGTTATATCAATACAGTTATTATCATTAGCAACACTATTCATGTAATACTGCTTTGACCAAAGGGGGAAGGGGGGATGGATCACTTGCTGATACCAATTACAAGTAAATAATATGCTAGAAGTAATCACTTGGTAATAGTACCAACTACAAGTAATTAACAAGCCAAAAATAACATTCTGAAAACAAGTACTAAATAGATATCATGGTCATCAATAATTGAATTCTTTGAAAACTGTGGCTATAGTTGGCACTATGAACTCTAACCTACAACATCAAAGGGGGGGGGGGGGGGGGGGGTAACAAAAGATGAGACACAATTTCTAGGGCAATGACTTCATTGTGATCACCACAATTGCTCGTCTCTATACCTACAATGGTCTATTGGCATCCTGGATGAACCAAACCAAGAGATAGTAATCCTTAGAATACTGGACTCTCTTATTCCTCTCGGCTCAATACAAAAACCATCCGGCTCCCATAGACAATGGGTTAACAAATTGCTTACGATCAGTGATGATAGCATCAAACAAAGGCTGTTCCCTCCATATATCCTGTGAGAAGTCTGATATGAGTACATCTAAATAGCGGTGGCCCAGGCCATACTGCTCCAAGTTGGCACTTATGTTCTCATCTCTACCTGATACAGAGAGAGAAAGAGAGAGAGGGAGAGAGTGAAAGACAACATATTTACTTTTTTACACATTTTTACCTCTACCATGAAGTTTATATCCATAGAAGATATTCCTAAATTCTAGATGAAACTAAGCATGTAAGAGTTAAATTATTTTCAAAGACCATTTATGACTTTATACCACAACATGTGGTATGTGGTGGCCTAGGAGAGGTCGAGTACTTTAGCCCTTGGCCATTGCCACCATTTTGGACATTGAATTAATTAACATGAGGCATAAAATGAAATATGCCCTTACTGAGACTTGGAAAGGTTGTACATCACTTGCTCCTGTGACAATTGCTCTGTGTCAATATCCTACAATTACCAAATTCTTAAATTTAATCCTGGACCCAACGCCTTACCGATAAACTTATCCCTGTTCCTAACCTTAAGCCAAATTGCAACCCTAACCCTAACCCTATATCTTTGACAAAATAAAAGCTGGAACAATCGTTGCTGGAGCAAATGTTGGGTCACCACTTGCAAAAACAATTCAATCGCCACTCAATTTCCTCCATTTACATACATATAGCTGTGTGCTGCCACCCTGGGCCATTTTATAAACTTGCTATCAATAACAATTTCTAAATTTTTATGATAAATTTGTTCTCAGCCTATCAGATACCAAGATTTCAGTAGCTTGTTACAGTTATTGTAACTGGTTCTAGGACACCTACCCCCTGGACATCCAACCCCCTGGATAACCACCCCTAGTCTACTACCACCTAGGACAACCACTCTCTAGGACGACTACCCCCTGGGAAACTACCCCCAGTACTACCCCCCAGTAAACTACCCTCTAGGACAACTACCCCCTAGGACAACTACCCCTCGACAACAACCCCCTAAAACAACTACCCCCTAGGACGACTACCCCCCAGACATCTACCATCTGGACAACTACCCCCTACAATACAACAACCATTCTCTAGGACAACTACCCCCCCCCCCCCCAAGCTATCCTAGGGGGAAGTTGTCCGGGGGTAGTTGTCCTAGGGGTTAGTTGACTTCGGGTGGTTATCCGGGGGTTGGATTCCAGGGGGAAGGTGTCCGGATACGATTGTAACTTGTTATTGATAACAAGTTTTGTGAAACAGGGCCCTGATACTATTGTTAAATGCACTCACCTCTGTATTTTGTCTTTGTCTCTGTCTTTGGTTGTGCCCTGCTTGACTTCCCTCTGCCGTGGATGATGTTATAATTGATATCACAGCCAGCTACATAACCTCCAAAATGAGCCGCTGCCACCAGCAGACTACCTGTAATAAGAAACAACCAATTCTGCTTATACTTTACTCATGATATTCTTATAGATGTCTTGCAAATACGATAGACTTAAAAGTTCACCAGGAATTCAAATTTCAATTAGGCCTACTTCTTAAAGTCAAGGGATATCAAATATTTACCTTATGAAAAGTATTCTTTGTTTTTTGGACTGTTTATTATGGAAAAGCTAGGACTCTCAGCTAGCAAAATTTATAAAACCTTTCTGTTTTTTTCCAGGGTTACTGTTGATACAAATTCCAAACTACATAATTTTAACAATTTTATTTAGAACAGTCAGGAGACTATTTCTACAATGCATTTGAATTGATACACATTCATTCACCTGTTACAAGGCATCATATTTTAATAGCTAGTACCGGTATGTACTTTGTATGTTGCTGCTAGGATGGATAACCTTATGGCTTGTTCAACCCACCAACTACTGGTCCATGCCATCTGCACTCTTACTATTGAAATAAACTAACTCCATAGAATAATACACAATCGCCATGGGTCAACATTACGCACACGACTGTGCGCTGCTCAGGGCTTTATTTCATCAAAGATAAAGGGATAGGGCTGCAACTGAGTAAAAAGTTTTGGTTTAGGATTAAGGTTAGATATCTCCTTTAGTCTAGGGTTGAAGTAAAGAATTAGATTGAGGTAGGGAAATGACAATGGCCAAATTGTCGCCGGGACATGTGTCATACAACCGACAGAGCAGGATGAATTTATACTTGACTACATTACAAAAAATTTCCTATTTTGAGAACTCCTGAATGAATCACAATAATGACGGTTAGCTTCTCTTTATTTAGTTTACCTGTTCCAACAAACGGGTCCAATACAAGATCCCCTTCTTGGACACCAGCCTGGTTGGTCATTACTAACGACAGGAGTGCATCCATGGAGGTGTTCCCAATGAAATGACGGGTCTTCACAGAGTAGCGGTGGGCTAAACGCTTCTGACCATCAGATATCTAAAGGTAGAGAGGGAAAGAGAGAGAGAGAGAGAGAGAGAGAAAGGGGAGAGAGAGAAGGAGGAGATGAGAGATAGTTGAGAAGAGATTAGTGTAAGAGAGGAGTATAGGGGTAAAGACTTGGACAGAGCGGGACTTATGATTAAAAAATATATCAACAGTCTAACAGCCCATTGGACTGCCCATAAAACTTTTTGCCTGATTTATATGATAAACTTGATTGCAGCTTACATATAAGAAATATTGATTAAGTTGCATATAGTATTCGTACATAATTATAAATGTAGAATGCCTCATACAGAATGCTTCTACAAAAAAAAAGGAAACCCATATGAGTTTCAGATGAGAGATAAATTCAGGAGGCTACTGTATACTATGTCAGTCTAGACCGAAAGCTTCAGTCTCTCTAATCGTCGGTTGTTCCACTGAGACTACGTCTGGCTCCACTAGACCTCCGATTATAGAGACTGAAGTATGTCCAATCGGGACTGTACGAGACTGTACAGAACAAATGGTTCGGTTCGACCGGACCGCGATGAATGAGATATGCAACGAGATTTTTACTCTTTACATCCTCATAACTGCTGCAATTATAATAAAAATTAAAAATAACATATATATAGCTTATTTGACTTACGATAGCTTGCTCATTTAGATCCTAAATTAATGATTAATCCGAGAAAGTCTCGTCGTCAACATTATCCGTCTTGGTTTTAGTTGATGAATATTCATTTTTTCTTTTCGAACGTCCAATAGCTACCGTAGCTACGTACGAGTCAGCCCGGCTTGACCAACGAACTCCCACGAAACGAGTGCTCTGATTGGCCATTGGCTATGTTTTGGTAGGAATTGACCCGGAAATATATATCCGCCGCCGGGTCATATAGCTCTATGTTCGAGTGCATGAAAGTGCATGAACGTACTGTTTCACAGTTCAAAGATATAAATTGGATAATTCATATAAGTAAGTCCGAAAATTTCACATTCTATGATAGGTTAGCAAATTTTGAAAACTGTAATTAGGAGATATATAGACCGACCTAATTTACATCTGATTTAGAAATCAGAAAATTAGATCTAAATAAAGAAAATCGGGAAGAAAATGTCATGAACGAAAAGATGTTCATAGCCACCCCCACGGTACGAGATCTCTGGGTTACCATCTGTATTGGGGAATGACAACAAATGTCAGTTTTATTAAAGAAATGACCCAAATCAGATGGTTATTTCTGTCTAATGTCAGTCATACCAGAAAACATGGCCAAGAATCAGTCTGTTTGGAGTCGGTCTCGAGCAAGTTTGGCAGTATGAATGGGGCATTAGAGGAGGCGTGATAGCTCAGTTGGTAGAGCAGTGGTCTCGTAATCCGGCGACGTGAGTTCGAAACCAAGTCGATGCGCTAGTGCCCTTTGGTAATAAAGGCATTAATCCTTATTACCAGGTTCCTCAGATAGGACCTTAAGCCGTCAGTCCTCTGGTTGCTTACTAACAAGCATTTATACTTTCTTAGCAGTCCGGTAAAATAACCACCACCACATTACGTAATTCCCTGCAAGAAGGATTATAAAGTCTTACCCATCTGCCGACAAAGATGCGATGTGGTTTATCAGGGGCCTGGTTTGGCTGAACACCATAGTCTTCAAAGATATAGAAGACTTGATCTGGATCTCTCATCTTCACTGGTCCTTTCAAGGGTAGATGATCCTGCAACCTCTGAAAAATGAAAGGAAGACTTCACTATCAAATAACCAGTATACATCAGTGTTTGTTACTTGCCATCGTGACATATACATGTACGAGGTAGTCCTAGCAATAGTAAACAATACATCAATGCTGTCTTTTAAGGTGAACAATTTTCTTTCCAATACAGAACTGAGAGACATCAATACAAGTGAAACCAAATGACTTCTTAAGAGACCTCCCAAGTGTACAAAAAAAAATGTTTATGGCTTTCATGCAACAAGTTTGGTATACTGTTTTTCCTGTCCTGAAAATACATATACAATTATGTTTAAAGCATGTTATACCGGTAATATAACAAATCCCACACCATCTTCATCAAAGATTACAGCTACAGTAGCAATTAGGGTTAATAGGTTAACTTCCTGTTTAGTGTTTGGTCCTGGATCGAAGTTAGACATTTGGCTAGTGTAGGGAATCTATCAGACCGTGGGGTAACAGTTGCCAGTGCATGTGTTGAAGCACCAAATTTACTAACTCTAGGGAGCTCCAGATCCTAAAGAAGGAAAACATTGTAAGTCAAAATTGTCATTACTACTTCTTTACTTTTCGAAAAAAAGTGACGAAACCCGTTATTTGAATCGTTTTCCTATGTAGGATCTGGAGCTCCCTGGAGTTACAAATTTACCTTCATTGCATCAAGTTTACCTTCATTTACATTCATGTACAAATTTACCTTCATTGTATCGAGTTTAGCTGCACTGCTGAGCTGCTTTCCAAAGGTGTGGACCTTGAAACAGAAGGACACGTCCTCCTTGCAGTATTTCTCCATCTCATCCCGAGGGACGGCATCTAACCCGGCGCAGACCTCGCTGTATGTAGAGCCGTGGGCCCACACCTCGATCGCAGACCTGGACAGGACGCTGCGGTTCATCAGCTTCTGCATGCAGTCCTCCGAGGGGAGATCGATCTCCAAGAAAGGGCTCTGGATTGTAGAAAAGAGTTTGTTTTAAAGATCAAGTCCTCTTCAAAAATAACTTACTTTCAAAAGAAGCAGAAAATCAGACACACCAATCAAAAAAAGTTTGCGCAAAATAGTGAGACAATGACGTCACAAACTGATAACTAAATTGGCAATTTGTGTAGTGATTTCCATTTTTCCATGATTTTTCAAAAATTCATAACTTCCTTATTAGTTATTGCAACTGTATAAATCTCATGTATTATTATTATTATTAGAACGGGCCCAGCTGGTCCGTAAATAAGTGATTTGAGGCCTTGGTCTCACTCTGGATGTTCATCCTTATCTTCTTCATACATACCTTTTCTTCATATTTGTGACTAGTCAGATCAGCCTGGATTCCAAGATGAGATACAAGGGACTTTATTTCCTGCAGAATATGAAATATTAGCAAAAAATATAAGGTTTACTACCTGAAAATTTGTATTTGATCACCAGTTCGGTATCGGAGATAATTATAATAAAAGAAGATTCTGGCAAGTAATTTCAAGTATTTTGGAAATTAAAGTAGTCTAGCCAAAATTGTTTAATTGCTGAGATTCGTCACCAAACTAAATGCCACATTGTTTTTGTTTTTATTCTAAAAATTCCTAAAAAATAGAGTGCATGAAGACACTACTGAAATGGAAATTGAATTCTCTTTCTCAAAGTCAAATCTCAATTTCACTCAAGTCAAGCTCGGCCCCGAGCCGCTAGCCAAGGCCAATAAAGCGGTCATCATTTTCATTTTCATTTTCACAAGAAAATATGATTTTATTCATTTGTATATTTTTCAAGTAGATCTATAACTGCCGCCCGCACAAAGGGTAATGGTCTGTAGTGTAAAGTTATCTTAGTGGCCGGTTCTAGCAAGGCCACACTGACCAGAGCAAGAAGCAACGCCCGGCTCCAGAGAGGAGGGCCACGACATCACTATGAACATGACAGACAATGAAAGCGGACAAAATATACAGTTCCTCAGGTAGACAAAGGGACATCCCTTCACTGCCATTATGTAAAAATGTGTAGACCAGGTGTCACATGTATATTCACCTGTTCTACACATTTGTACATAATAGCAGTGAAGGGATGTTCCTTTGTCTACCTGAGGAACTGTATATTTTGTCCGCTTTCATTGTCTGTCATGTTCATAGTGCATACAGCCATCGATGAGTTCGTTGCATACAGCTTGCGAATTGCGTGGGGGATTCCCCCCGTTTACTGTCATATATCCCTGCACAGTTTACTACGACTGGGACTACATACAATTCCATTCGGTTAATTTTGACATGATTTCGGACATTATTTCGAAAGAAAATAATTATACTTACGCTGATTCTGAAATCTATGTGTTCTTGAGCGAACACGATCAAAAAATGCCTCATGGCGGCCATATTTTGAAGTACTTTCATTCCTCTCCCTCTGTAGAAGCCTTATCCCGTCAATATCGCTCCGTCTTCACTGAAGAGGACACAGAGTCCATGCCATCTAAAGGCCCAAGTCCTTTTCCAGTAATGCCTAACATCTCAATTACTGTAGCTGGAGTGGAAAAGTTGCTTGTCTCACTCAACCCTAGGAAAGCCGTTGGACCAGACCAAGTGCCAACAAAAATCCTAAAAGACCATTCTGCAATCTTAGCGCCAGTGTTGCAAGTAATATTCCAGCAGTCACTTGACACCGGAGATGTTCCTGAAGATTGGAGACAAGCCAATGTCACGGCAGTCTTCAAAAAAGGCGATAGAAGCAAGCCATCTAACTATAGGCCGGTATCCCTAACTTGTATAGTATATGCAAGATGCTAGAACACATCCTCTCAAGTACCATCCGAGGTCATCTTGATCTGCACAACATCCTGACTGACTGCCAGCACGGCTTTAGGAAACATCACAGCTGTGAAACTCAGCTGTTGGCAACCTTGGAGGATCTCAACAGTTGCATCGATGAGAAGAAACAACTCGACTGCTTGATTCTTGACTTCTCGAAAGCCTTCGATGTTGTAGCCCACAGGAGGCTACTGTACAAACTGGATCATTATGGCATTCAGGGATCTACTTACAACTGGATCCAGAACTGGCTAACCAATCGTACACAGGCTGTTGTAGTTGATGGCGAGAGATCATCTGACGTGTCTGTGGACTCCGGTGTTCCCCAGGGTACCGTGTTAGGCCCACTCCTCTTCATACTGTACATTAATGACATCACTACTAATATCTCGTCCTCCATCAGACTGTTCGCAGATGACTGCCTCATCTACAGAGAAATCCAGTCTGAACAGGATGCTGCACTTCTTCAAGAGGATCTTGACACCCTATCAAAATGGTCCCTTGATTGGCAGATGAGATTCAACCCTGCAAAGTGCTCCCTACTCCGTATCACCAAGAAACGTCGCAGTATTGAGACAACATACAGCATGAGAGGGGCTGATCTGCAGCAAGTTGACAATCACCCATACCTTGGCGTGGAATTCTCTTCCAAGATGGACTGGGGTGTACATATCAACAATGTCACAAGCAAAGCCCGGAAATCGCTCAACTTCCTTCAACGGAATCTTTACAAGTGTCCTGAGAAGATCAAGCAGCAGGCTTATACTTCCCTGGTACGGCCAATCTTGGAGTATTCGTGTACAGCATGGGATCCCTACTTCCAGAAACACATTTCAGCCCTTGAATCAGTGCAAAGGAAAGCTGCCCGTTTTGTGAAAGGGAACTATCAGCGTACGGCTAGCGTCAGCCAGATGCTGCAGGAGCTGAAGTGGCCTTCACTTCAAGATAGGAGGACAGTTGCACGTCTTACCATGCTGTTCAAGATCAACTCTCATGAACTTCCGATTACCATCCCAGAGAAGTTTATCCCAGTCGCCAACAACCCCAACAGACCAGTCACCCGTAGTCAGAGACCAAGCCAGTACATCAACTACTCTGCCAGGACCGAAGCATACAAGAACAGCTTCTATCCTCGTACCATTCAGCAATGGAATCGACTACCAGCCACCATCATCAAAGAGTCAACATCGGCCAAGTCCTTCAATACCAAAGTTTGGAGCTACATGCAGAATGACCACTCAGCCCAGCTGTACACAGGCGGGATAGAGCGTCAATGTGGCTCTACTTCATCTATAAATTAGATGATGTCTACAACCCACTCATTTTATGAGCACCTTATTATTTTGTTTTTTGAACTTTGCATCAGTTGTGATGTTTGTTGACAGTTTGCGATGCCACGGAAATCTGGACGTATATACCAATTGGTCCTGTCCAGTACCACCTTAGATGTAGATGTACTCGCATCTGCACGACTGCCACGCTGTAGCCTGTTTTTCATGAGCTACGTACGTAGATCTACGATCATAATATTATGCTTTATGAAATTATTGCCAAAATTGTGCAATAAGTCTCTTATATACCAACAAAAAAAGAATGATGTGACAGAAAGAATGGTGCGAAAGAAAGAATGATATTAAACAAACAAAAAATTGAGAGAAGAATGATGCATATACTAAATGTGCGGGAAAAAAGAATGCATGTTGTGCGCTACAAAGAATGATGAGAGATCTGATGTGTTGGAGACGGATCGAATGCATGAGAAAGAATGGAGAGAGAGGCTAATAATGATGTAAGAAGATATAGAAAGAAAGACAGAGAGATGGGAGAGGAAGACAGAGAGCTAGAGAGAGAGAGAAAGAAAGAGAGATAGATAAATATATCGAGCTTCCGTATAGCTGCCCCCCCCCCCCCCCGGGGCCCCTCCTTCAGAAAAGCAAAACCTATCGAAAGCCTCGCGTGTACAATAAGTAATTATAATTGTTAATACTCGTGGTATCCAAAGTGTCGTATAAATCAGAAAGGTTTTCAGCGTAACAGAGGTTTGAGAATTGATTCAAACGAAAAGACCGCATGAATTAGAACCAGTGAGCGAGCGCAATAGTCATTAAATGAGCTGTACGTCGATCATGTCAAATGCCCTCTACAAAATAACTAAAGCAGGAACCATGGAACCACGGTTAAATTAAGTATTCTATAGTATTCAATAAGTATTTAGTAATACAATCCTGGCAAGACAGAATTTTCATTGCTGACATCAGCAAACCATTTGAATCAGCTCCATAAACTTTCCTTTCCATTAGATGGTGCAACGCAGGCGCGTACGCAGGGGGGGGGGGGGGGGGGGGGGGGGGGGGGGGGGGGGGGGGGGGGGGGGGGTGGGGGGGGGGGGTTAACCCCCCCTTGAGTTTTTGTATGTGTATGTTTTGTGTATGTTTTTGGGGACCCCCCCCCCCTTTTGACTTTAAAACAAAACAAAAAATTAATAATTTTTTTTAATAAAAAAAAAAGAAAAGAAAAGAAAAGAAGTATGGCAATGGCTGACCTAAAAAAGGTGACCTAACCCCCCCCCCCCCCAATTAAAAAAAAAAAAAAAAAAAAAATTGGCAGGGAAAGTGCCAGACCGTGTCTAGGTTATTGTCACCTCCTTTTTTCGTATCGTAAACTGGCAAATTTCTAATCTAAATCGCATAAGAGGGTACTTGGATCGAGATACATTTCATAACTTTGTTAGAGGATAATTTGTACTCTCTATACCGTGTGAGTCCTAAAAAAGTTTACACCTAGACAATTATTTTAAAATCATCTATGAACAGTAAATAATTATACATCTTATGAAAGAGTATTTTATCCCAAAATCATTTGGTATCATTTTTGTTTGGTATGTTCACGCTTGGATTAACAGGAGGCATTGTTTGCGAGAGTGCAAAACTCGACTTGCGCCAAAGTGATGCCTACAGTTTGTATTATGTGGGATTAGCGGAGTGAGAGAATGACTTGAATGTATCAAATGAAATGCAAATACATATGCTTTTAGCAGAAGCAAAGTCACACACATATACACACACTCACACACACACGCACACACGCGAGCGCGCACAATGGTCGTTCATATTTGATATTCGATGTTTGATATAATGTGTTAGGGATGTTATTTGGATCTGCAAATACCGAATTAATACCCACATCACAATTGTTTTATTTAAACATCACATAAGCAACTTTGGCGCAAGTCAATTTTTGCAATCTCGCAAACAATGCCTCCTGTTCATCAAAGCGTGAACACATACCACATAACATGATATCAAACGATCTTTCACAAGATGTATACCATACAAATTTACTGTCCATAGATGATTTTTTTTTTTTTTTAATGATTAGCAATTTTTTAAGTGTAAACCTTTTTTTTTACTCACACTGTACAGAGGTTATCATTAGTTACAGCTTGTTGAATACAAAGTTTTATATCACTTTTTCAGCTACAATCTTTTTGATTCGTAACAATAGTGTTACTTTGGACACATCAATGATAAGAATAAATCAACCTGAATCATGCTTTACATGTATGTTCATTGATATGTACATAGTGTAGCATCTAAACTCCCTTTGTTTGCTACAAAAGAACTTTATGAATGGAAGACAGAGAAAGAGAGACAGAAAAAGAGGCAGTTTCACGGCTGAAGTGTTAATAGGCCAATTAGAGCATTAGTTTTAACATGGACCTTTTCCATAACAAGCTGATTTTTTTTCAGGATAGGTCCAGGAATATGTCTAGATTAAAATACTAAAAGTCCTCATAAATCCTCCCTGAGCGTTTTCTGCAATCCAAGATGGCGTCCAAAATGGCCGCCATATGTCCTGATTTTCTTATAGCTTTGCAACCAGATGACCCAAATACAACATTTAAATGTCTAAATATATGTTTTTTAGCATAAGGAACTCATTAAAATACATGTTGATAAATTCTGAAACACACAAGTAGCTTTAAAGCACCTTAGCCCTTCTCGAAATCCAAAATGGCGCCCCAACTTTGCCGCCATTTCCTGTATTTCTTATAACTTTGTAACTAGATAACCCAAATACCAAATTTAAATGTCGAAATATATGTTTTTAAGCATAAGGAACTCAACCAAATACTTATTAACAAATATAAAATGTGGTATGTGGGGCATGATTAATGTTAGGGATGTTATTTGGATCTGCAAATACCAAATTAATACCCACCTCACAATTGCTTTATTTAAACATCACATAAGCAACTTTGGCGCAATTCGATTTTTGCAATCTCGCAAACAATGCATCCTGTTCATCCAAGCGTGAACACATACCACACAAACACAAAAATGATACCAAATGGTTGAGATAAAACACTCTTTCATAAGATGTATTATAATTTACTGTTCATAGATGTTTTTTACTCACACTGTATATGCAGGCTTGACTTTATGGAGGATATCGTTAAGCAGGACCTGGTTATATAGACCCAGCGTCTCCAGAATAATTGTGCTCGGATTATTTGTCAAAACTGAAGTGGTATCATGCTTATTATCATTTCTATCATCAATTAAATGTTGTTATTATTATCATCACCATTATTATCTTT